GAGCCTGTTTTTTTTTTTTTTAAATATTAACAATATATTAGCCTAGAATTTCATGTTTAACTTCTCTTAATATCTCACTGCAAGTCTATTTGCAGAAAGCAAGCTTGTGCTAACAGAAATATATAGACTGCCAAAGCTGACCTCCTTCTAAAAATGCTATATGTCTGGCTGCATCTGGCTTCAGTGTTTTCTGTCTCACTGTCTCTGAAAAACAAGCAGCAAGTAAAGCCAAATGCCGCTTTCTACATCCTTGTTCGGAAACAGTAATAAATATACCACTAAAAGCCATTGAAGAAGCATGGTAGGTATATGATAGTCCTGGATTAGTGCAGGTAGAGGTTAATTTAAGTGGATCATGCTGAAAGCAGTATTAGACCCAGAAGCAAACATTTATTATATTGCAGATTGCCAATTCTTAGATGTGATGGCTGCATTAGTTTTCTTTTTTAGGCTTTCTTTCTTCTATTTTAATCTGGTGATCCAGCCAGTAAGTCTGTTGCTTTTCAAAAGAACAAGCTTTCCAGCAGAATGTATCAATTTATAGGGATGAGACAGATTATTTGCCACTGACAGGGTTGCTTACAGTGATCAACTTTTATTCATATAACCTTTTTTCCAGAAGAAGAAAAAATGGTTTGCTGTAACTGATTATAAAGTATTAGCTGGAGTTTGGTTTCAATTCATTAGTGTATTTAAATCTGCTAGTACATCTAACACTTCCCTCTGCCCAGACTGACAATACTGTTGTCGGCTGTGCATCCTGTGCTCCTTAGTGGTGTCTCACTAATACAGAAGGTGTGTTACATATACATTTTAGCACTAATTCATTAAAGGAGAAGTATGGCCAAAGCTTTTTTGGCCCTACTTCTGCTATGGATCACAAGAGTTCGCTCTGGAGTTATGCGACCCATTTTCAGCTGACAGAGGACCAAAGCCCGCTGTCGGCTGACATCATTCAAACAGTCCAGACACTAGAAAGAGCCCAACTTTACAGTGGGGATCCACCCAGATACCTGGACCAGCAGCTGGCTTAGCCTCTCAGTGAGCTGCCACTTAAGCCAGCCACTCCTGCCCCCTCCACAGCTCTCTAGTGAATGCTGGAGAAGCAGAGAAACAAAACCCCATACATTTTCTTTTAAATACTATAATCTAAGGCCCTGTTCATCTGGCATTTTGGAATCTTAGAATTACTGTAATTCTTCCTGAAATCTCAAATCGCATTGCAATAGTGGCAAAACACGTGCCATTAATTTCCAGTGGCACCTAAACATGGTGCAGAAATGCCGCAATTGCTGTGCGATAAATGCTGCAAGACAATACAAAACTGGGAACATGTTACATGAGACTAGTAGAGACCAATGCTATTACCCTAATCAGTGTTCCCACTACAGATTGCTGAGGACTGACAGCCGCACATCACATAACAAAGGGCTGCAAATTGGGCACCAGGGCCCTAGAAACTGCTGGAGGAGCCCTAGGCTTCCACAGGACACTGGTTGAGAAAGTCTGGGTTAGAGAGTGGGACATGGTTTGCCAACTGTCGTGGGGAAAGAATTAATAGGAAGCTGATAATGACATCACCACTTGCTGCTTACACTCCGCCAATAGCCCTGGCTATGCATGAACAATGGTCCTAAAATTGTTAAACAGAAAACCTGCGTCAAATAAAAGGAGCAGCTAACACAATAGGCAAAAACTGAGAACCAAAACCATAATGATATCCAAACCCCCACCAAAGTGGAATGATTATGTGCCAATAATGCACATTAAGTAAAAGTCTGTGAACCGGAGACCAAAGAATAGAAAGAGTCCATCACCTTCCACCCAGTCACTTTTGCCAGAAGATTTGACCACCCAAAGGATTGGTCAAATAACGCAGTTTTCATGCTCGGCAGATGTACCATAGGCTTCCAAATAAGGGCCAGTTCACAATAGAGGCAGTTCAGTGCACTTTTTTTCTGTATCAAAAATGCATGCACAGTGTTCTCCATGTATTCTAATGGCCCTAGTTCACACTAGTGAAGTCCGTTCCAGTCAGTTTTCGCCGCAGAAAAAAAAAAGTAGAACATGCTGCATTTTTTCTGTACAGAACCATACTGGAACATAGCAAACTGCATCAAAACTGCACCGGAACTGCGTGTGGTGTGAATTGTAAGCAAAAATGTATCCGGAATGCATCCGGAGTGCATTTTTGTGGTGTGAACTGGCCCTAAATCTCCCAGGAGATCCAGATGATATACGAACTATCTTCTAAACAATAAGATCTCAGATGGTAAGTAACTCTCCACTCAGTAAACACCATAGGAGAGAGTAACCGCTCATAGTGTAGTCATTTAAAAAAGGTAATACAATTTATTCACAGTAATGCACTTACAAAGGATAAAAAAACAGCCTGTCTGTACAATGTTTCCATCCTATCAAAATGGCCGTGGTCTGTGGCGGCGTGTGGTGACGTCGTAGCTCTACCCTACACTTTTCGTCACACAGACAAATGAATTTGAATGGTCCTAAAATAGTCCCGATTGCTGAACAGATAAATGAAAAAAGATATTTTTTTTAATGTTGATGTTATCACTAACGCTACATTCACACTGAGCTGAGAGTTTTCAGGCATTTTTTTTTCACCCGCTTTTTTTTTCCAGGCGTTTTTAAGCTTCTTTTGAGAAGATTTGCTAATATTATTATAGCCAATTTTTTTCAGGTGTTTTTCATTTAGACATTTTTGCTGTGGCCAATAGATACTTGTGTAGATGTCCCCTAGGTACATACAACTAGAAACCAGAATCAAGCACATGGCTGCTGTACACAGAAGTTCTGTACCTTTCTCTTTGATCTGGGAAGCAGTGTAACTGTTCTGTTGGGACAGCAGTTTTCTTCCATCTACCTCCCAGGCTGTGGTGGTTCTTGCCTGGCTCTTATAATGGGGATCCCTGGGATCACAGATGCAGGGGTGGCCATGAATAAGAGCAATGAATGTCTCAGCTTCCAGAAGCAGACTCTCCTCCATTTTTATCATAAGATGGGGCCTAAATATTTACGACCTGCTCTGCCCTGATTGTTTGTGTACGAATTTCACATATATTTAAAAGAGAAGTGGGATTTTTTTTTGGTAATTATACTTGCCTAGGTGGATGCTGCATCTTTCCCCCCCATCAGCTCTTAGTGATCATCAGTCATGTGATCGTTGGGTTCTCACACTGAGTTTTCACAGCCACTCTGAACAGAGAGCCCTACAACCCACTGTAGGCTGAAAACAGGTCACAGGAGTGCAGAATGAAACTGCACTCTTGTGATCTACAGAAGTACAGCTGAAAGAACTTTGGCTGCACTTCTCCTTTAACCTCCCTGGTATTCCCGAGTGGAACTCAGGGTTAATTATCAGTGCCAAAAGCAGTAACCCAGAGCTACACTCGGGATTACCCTGCAGCGTTGCTCTGTGATCCCTTTTTCACTTACCTTGTCCTTCGCTCCCGCGATGTCCCTCCTGCAGTGTCCCCAGCCATCTCCGGCCAATGCTGGCATCTGTCTTCTGGGTTCTGGTCCCTGCGAGCGTCGCTACGAACGGGGGCCGGAACCGGCAGGAAATTTAAAAAGTGACATTTACGAAATACACTAAAATCACATAGTAAAAATTACTGTTTCAAACCATTTCACATACATTTTGTCCCGAGTGCTTTGTCCTGTGCCCTGCCTGCATTTTTACTGTTCTTTCTGCCTTGAAACTGAGGAACGTCCATGGCGTCCAAAAAGTGTCCCTTTAGGTCAAAAGCGGTTTTAAGATAGAGAACTGCGATAGTAAATCAGAACTACTTGCAGAATTGAGTGATAATGATTTGTGGGGAAATTCATCATCAGATACTGAAAATTATTTTTCTTTGCGAACTTGCTCTATATTTCAAATTTCAGTGTTTTTGGTTTGATTATATTATTGAATTAAATTTATTAATATATTTTTTATGATTATTATATTATAATTTATGATTTCGTGTTTCAAATTGTATCATACCCGGGATGTTTACTAGACTCTTGTTTGGACAGATTTCAATGAGTTATTCCTAAAACTTACAGGCCTACAATAAAAAAACATCTTTCCATGCAAAAAATGTACCGCTTTGAGCACAGAAATACTGACATAATCATACCACTATGGGGATTAAGGCTTTCATGCTGATTTTGCTTTGCTCATTCATGACCATCTCACTACTGTTTAATGCATGAATGCAAAAAAAAAAATAAATAAATAACACTTTATATATCTGAATGCAAAAAAGCAATTAGGCAATTAGGGCAAGCGTTCATAGAATAGATCAGCCTTTCTCATCCACAGTTCCATGGAACTCTAGTGGTAATACAGTGGTAGCTAGGGGTTCCTTCGTTTTGGCTGGTGGACCTCCATTTGATGGTGCCTGCTTAGTACCAGGACCATGGACACAGCAAAACCAGCGGTTTGACATCAATGATCTTTTTAGCTATCTGTAAGAATGGCTTTCTGATCACCACTGTAAGGGTTTTATTAAGCCTACTGACTGACAATGTATAAGGCATTTTTCCCATTGCCCCCAGATGAGTGGATTACAGTAAGGGTTCCCCAAGACCTGCGTGTTATTTTAGAAGTTTCTCTGGGGCGATAAGGTTGAGAAATGCTGAGCGAGATCATTTTTTGCCTCCTGGTTTTTGTTATTGTGGTTATTGTGTCACACTTCAGGAGGCAGCTTACTTTCAGCCTGATGCTGCAGCTATAATGTGTTGGGGCAGCTTTAGGCTAAGCTGTGGTGTCACACGTCTTGCTATTGAAGCATTCCCTGTTTTATTTCTGTGTGGAATCAGAAAAATATATACCTTCTGATTGACTAATGCTGAGCCAGGAGCTTTACAGCTGGGTTGCCGGAGAGATATACATATATCACAAGATCAGTAAATATTCCAGTGCGTTTGGATTGTGGATTTGACATAATGTTTGCTTCCTTTAATTGGACGGTTTGTTTGCCATTTCTCTATAGCATCCTCCTGGACAGTTGAGAAGAAAGTACAGCTCTTGTTCTACCATTTACCTTGATGACAGCACAGTCAGCCAACCTAACCTCAAGTATACCATTAAATGGTAAGTCTGCCCCTATTCCTTTTGTTGTATGACTGGATGATACCAGAATATGCCGTCGATCTCCATACCATTATATAATGTTGGATGAAACAAGTGATGGAAGAGGCTCAGATGGTAAATGGAAGGTTTTATTGCAATAGAATTGTGTGCTAGGGATCTGAAAAGGCAAAGTAGAGATTTGCTTTATCATGTTGGGGTATAGAGGTCGTGGTAGCAGGACATGGCTCTGTAAACCATGTGTTAGGAACTCCAGATCTCCATGCATGCTGGACACAAGGTTTTCCCCAGACCTCCTGCTATAGCTTTCTTCATGCTGCTTGTATAGTGTGTGAAATGTACACTTCTCATAGATTTGCAGTGACCACACCAGGACTATTTATAGTCCCTAGAAGCATTTTTTTTCTGCTTCTTACACGTGCTCTTCTGTGGAAGCAAATATACGTCTACTTACCAGAAAGTGGTAATAAACCCAAAAGCAAACATTTATTAAATTGCATCTCACCATTTCTTAGATTTGATGGCTGCATTAGTTTTCTTTTTTAGGCTTTTTTTATTTTCTGGTCAGTAAGTCTGTTGTTTTTTTAAAAGAACAAGCTACCTTGTAAATGTCAAGTATATTGAGACAAGCCATTTACCACTGACAGCAGTGCTTACAATGATCAGTTTTTATTTATGTAAACCCTTTTTTCCCAAAAGAAAAAAAACTGTTGCTGTAATTGCAGTGTGAATTGGTTTTAGTGTTGGTATATCTAAATCTGCTAGTACATCTAACACTCCTTTCCTCCCAGATTAATAACGCTGCTGTTCAGAGGTGCCCCCTGTGCGCTTCCATCCAAAATGGGTGCACTGTAATATAGGAAGAATGTTACTGGCTAGATCATCAGGTGAAAACACAGGAGAAAAAGCCTAAATAAATAGAAAATGAATGCAGCCACCACATCTAATGATTTGTAAGCTGGCATATATTACAATTTTTTGGTGTTGTGTTTAATACTACTTCAAAGAAGAACTAAATTTACAAAAATACCTCCTCATTCCAGTGAGGGTTAATCGCTCACCAGTCAGTTTCATCTTCTCCCAGGCTCTTTCTAGGTGCTGGGTTTCCAGCCTCTTGATTGGCTGGTTGGGGAATGACGTCATCCTGCGCCTTCACACAGGACTCCTTCTCAGAATGCACGTTTAGCTGCACATGCACAGCTCAGTAGCTCAGTGTGCATTCAATAAAAGGCTGTGAATGCAATAAGAAGAAGCTGCCTGTTCGCAGGTTTACACTCGTCAAGTTTAGTTCCACTTTAAAGTTTACCTGTGCTTTGCCCATTTAGGACAATGTAAGACAGGCATGTCCAAAGCCGCCCGCGGGCCATTTACGGCCTGGGGGTCGGTTTAATACGGCCCTCCAACAGCCTTCCCTGCTCTGTGTAATGTGGCCCTCCCACGGCCCTCCCTTCTATGGCAGACAGTCTTCTGCTTGAGAGCAGAGGGCAGCGCGCATGCCTGACTGCGGCGCGTTCTCCCTGGTCTGTGTAAATGCGGCTGTCGCACGGCCCTCACTTCTGTGGCAGACAGTCTTCTGCTTGAGAGCAGTGCGCATGCGTGACTGCGCCGCGCTGGGAGCGACAGAGGGCGGTGACGTCAGGGCCGGGCTTCCAGCGTGAAGTGTGTTTCTCTTCCCCTCCCGGCGGCCGAGCAGAGACTTCAGCTCCAGCTACCTTTTTCACCCTTCACATTAGTGCAGGTAAGTTTTTTTTAAATTTATTTTCAATACATTGTGAAAACTCAGCTGTCAGTTGATCTTAATGTTATGAAATGAAAAGTATGTCGTTTGCAATTAACTTGGCATAAAATAATTTATTTGCATTTAATTGTAATGGTTCAAAGAATGTTCAGAAAAATGTTCGGCCCTCCACCATGTTCACTTCATCCAATCTGGCCCTCTTTGAAAAAAGTTTGGACACCCCTGATGTAAGAGGTTCACTTTAATGCCAGCTTCTCACCATGTGCATTAGAAGATGTAGCAAGTCAGACAGAGTCTGCCTCGTTTCCTGGCTGGAGCATGTCCAGCACCATCTAGCTCTTTCCTCCCCAGCCTTACTGTCCCTGGCCTGGCCCTTTCATTCATTAAGTTTCGGTTCTTTCAATTATGAATGCTCAGCATCATATGTGAGCGGTACGTAGGGTAGTTTACATACTAGTACAAGGATGGACACTCCCTCAAATGGACATCTATCCTTCAAAGGCATATTAACATTAGTATAACACCACCCAAAAAGCAGCCCACTGCTTGAATCCAGAATGAGGATTCTTGAGAGGAGTACTGGGGTGCTGTGATGGTTTCAGGAAGCTACGTACAGTACTCTGCCAGCCCTTCCTACTAGCTATGATATGTCTTCATTGCACAGAGAAGCACAGAGGCCCAGTTGTCACACCACTATTTCTAAAATAAGGTATGTAATGAAAAATGAAGGTTGTCTTTAAATATTTCTATTAGCATGTTGAGTAGCATGTTGAGGGGGAATGGGGGGGGGGAGATAGAGGAACCAGAGAAAGCAAAATGTAATAATTTAATTCTCCTCATAGTAATGTAACATTTGCTTGACGTTACCTCTGGTATTCTCTATAGTCAAATTTTTTCATGTAATATTTTTGGTCTCATCTTGGAAGTCGTCTCTTTAACTTCAGAAATCTTACAAATTTATTCTGCACACATGGAACAAATTCACACCAGTACCTCCTGGGTGTAGGAGACCTAAAATTCCCATGTGCCTCTTTCTAGTAATGCCTCATGTATAGATCTCCACCATGTGCTGTTAAACTAAAAGTGTTTGTGTTGCTTTTAGATGATGAATAGGGAAGAATTCGAATCGCTGTCTGATTCCTATTATGTGTTGTGTGTACATTGGGAACATTTCCTCTCACTTCCTGTAATACATTTGTGGAAACTCCCAAAAGTGAAGGGAAGCCCCACCATTGACAGTCCTAAGAGGAGCAGACTGGCAGAATACCTCTCACCCCGTTTGGGAAACAATGGCCACCAGGACAGGAAGTCGGGGTATTCTCCCAACAAGGACATATAGAGCAGTACAAACCTGTCAGAGGAGTTACCCCTCCATTACTATGACACTATGTCGGAAATGTAAAATATATATTTAGCTGTAGTCAAGATTTAACCTTGCTCATGTAATACTCTATCCTGTGAAGTATTACAATACTTATTCTCAGTTGTAAGAGTTAGGAAAATTAAAATGCTGCCTAATCTTGCTTTCATTATGTAGATCCAAAAATATTATAGAATTTTGTTGCTAAGGGAAGAACAGCTAAGGAGAACCATTTTTTTTTTGTATTACTTCATTTTGCTAATGTTGACCTGTTACAGAACCTGAAAGTGCATGAAAATGTGTCTGCGACTTATGGCAGATCGAGCAGAGTTTTCTGTAGGGCTGTTTTTTTCTTAACATTTTGGCACTATAAAGTATGCTTGTCTCCCATTTCAGAAGGGCAGGAGTTAGGCCTCACTCATACAAACACACCCTGGGGCTAGTTATATTTTGACTATATATATACAGTCATGGCCGAAATTGTTGGCACCCTTGATATTTCTCCAGGAAATCATGTATTTCTCACGAAACGTATTGCATTAACACATGTTTTGCTATACACATGTTTATTCCCTTTGTGTATTGGGACAAAAACAAAAAAAGGGAGGAAAGAAAGCAAATTCGACATAATGTCACACAAACCTCCAAAAATGGGCTGGACAAAAGTATTGGCACCCTTTCACAAACTGCGGATAAATAAGAATGTTACAAGCATGTGATGCTCCTGTAAACTCACCTGGGGCAAGTAACAGGTGTGGGCAATATAGAAATCACACCTGAAAGCAGATAAAAAGGAGAGACGTTCACTTAACCTTTGCATTGTGTGTCTGTCTGTGCCACACTAAGCATGGACAACAGAAAGAGGAGACGAGAACTGTCTGAGGACCTGAGAACCAAAATTGTGGCAAAATATCAACAATCTCAAGGTTACAAGTCCATCTCCAGAGAACTAGATTTGCCTTTGTCCACAGTGCGCAACATTATCAAGAAGTTTGCAACCCATGGCACTGTAGCTAATCTCCCTGGTCGTGGACGGATGAGGAAAATTGATGAAAGATTGCAACGCAGAATAGTCCGGATGGTGGATAAGCAGCCCCAAACATGTTCCAAAGACATTCAAGCTGTCCTGCAGGCTCAGGGAGCATCAGTGTCAGCGCGAACTATCCGTCGACATTTAAATGAAATGAAACGCTATGGCAGGAGACCCAGGAGGACCCCACTGCTGACACAGAGACATAAAAAAGCAAGACTACAGTTTGCCAAAATGTACTTGAGTAAGCCAAAGCCTTCTGGGAAAACGTCTTGTGGACAGATGAGACCAAGATAGAGCTTTTCGGTAAAGCACATCATTCTACTGTTTACCGAAAAAACGGAATGAGGCCTACAAAGAACAAAACACAGTACCTACGGTAAAATATGGTGGAGGTTCAATGATGTTTTGGGGTTGTTTTGCTGCCTCTGGCACTGGGTGCCTTGACTGTGTGCAAGGCATCATGAAATCTGAGGATTACCAAAGGATTTTGGGTCGCACTGTAGGGCCCAGTGTCAGAAAGCTGGGTTTGCGTCCAAGATCCTGGGTCTTCCAGCAGGACAATGACCCCAAACATACGTCAAAAAGCACTCAGAAATGGATGGCAAAGAAGCGCTGGAGAGTTCTGAAGTGGCCAGCAATGAGCCCAGATCTAAATCCCATTGAACACCTGTGGAGAGATCTTAAAATTGCTGTTGGGAAAAGGTGTCCTTCCAATAAGAGAGACCTGGAGCTGTTTGCAAAGGAAGAGTGGTCCAAAATTCCGGGTGAGAGGTGTCAGAAGCTTATTGATGGTTATAGGAAGCGACTGATTTCAGTTATGTTTTCCAAAGGGTGTGCAACCAAATATTAAGTTAAGGGTGCCAATACTTTTGTCCAGCCCATTTTTGGGGTTTTGTGTGACATTATGTCATATTTGCTTTTCTGCCTCTGTTTTATATTTGTTCCAATACATACAAAGGGAATAAACATGTGTATAGCAAAACATGTGTTAATGCAATACCTTTTTTGTGTGAAATACTTGATTTTCAGGAAAAATATCAAGGGTGCCAACAATTTCGGCCATGACTGTATATAAAAAATAATATATTTGTTAAAGTGATACTGAAGTCTCTATATATAGTATAGTAAAAAAGGTTATACTTACATGCTCTGTGCAATGTAAAAAGAAGAAAAGAAAGCACTCTCTTCTCTTCTGGCAGACCCCCACTGGTGCTATCATCTTCTTACTCCTCCAGTTGCCTCCTAAGCAAGTCAGGTGTGTGTGTGTGTGTGTGTGTGTGTGTGTGTGTGTGTGTGTGTGTGTGTGTGTGTGTGTGTGTGTGTGTGTGTGTGTGTGTGTGTGTGTGTGTGTGTGTGTGTGTGTGTGTGTGTGTGTGTGTGTGTGTGTGTGTGTGTGTGTGTGTGTGTCCCCCGTCCCCAAGCTGGGCTTTGTGCGTCCATTGACAGACACAGCTCCGTTAAGCCACACTCCCGCACCCTCCTCACAGAAGTTTGCAACAGGATCCTATGGCTCCATGACCATCAGTCTCTCCTGTATAATCAGGAAGAGAAGGAGCTGTGCTAAAGCAGTGACAGGAGTCAGCTAAGTGTTTAAGGATAGGGGGGACTAGGACAGATAGTGAGGTATTTTTTTTTTACCACAATGCAGTGAATGCATTACCGTAAAAAGGTTTAGACTTTAAAATAACTTTAAGGACCCCCATTCCTGTGTGCTGCAACACAGGTGTAAGTGCAAGAAAAACTGCAGTTATACCTGTGCCGGAAATTGCGGGAAACTTTGATCCATTCATGTTTAAAATGCACTGGGTGTTCAATCCGCTGTGGGTGTCAATATAATCTGGACGACACCTCAAATGCAGTGCGTTTGCCTGCACTGGATTATATTGTACTGCAGTACCATGTAATTTGGTGGGGTGTGTTTTTTTGAAAAATAGTGCAGGCATTACTTTTGGTGCAATCCAGTGCAATTTCAGTCCATTCAAATGAATAGGCTGAAAATGGCATCACAGTGAATCGCTCAGGAACATGGACCGGGTTTCTGTGCAGTTCAGGTGTGAACCAGCCATTCTAGAGACACCGTAATCTAATAGAGAAGAGTGTTTATTATTGCATGGATTTGGATCTATATTTTGTCATGTCATTTAATGATTGTTCTGTTTTATAATATATGATGTAAGTAATTAAAGTGCAAATTTCTTCTTTACAGCGTAGCCCTTGCAATATACTACCACATAAAAAACAGGTACGTCACAAAAAAAAGTTTAAAGTCAAAATGTACATTTCTGCATGTTTCTGCGTGTAACATCTCTGTATGATGTTCACTTCCTGAGTTATACTGTTCCTTCTCTTGTCCTTATTCTTTACGTTTCTGTGCCCTTATGGCCCCCTTGGACGAGATGGAAAGGTGGTAATGTCCACTTTGTTCAATCAGAGAACACTTTGCATCCATTCAGAAAATGCAAAATGCAAATGTTGGCACCTGTGCTGAACGGCTTACCTCCTGTATTCATAATGCAGCAGGGCATCCACTCAGCTTGGGACCCAGAAGAATGTGGAGATCACTGGTGTAGCCGTGTCTTCTTCAATGATTTCCAGCTTCCAGGATTGGTCATACATACAGTAGTTACATTGGTCCAAGATGGTCCAGTGTAACTATGTACAAAATATCTGTACCTGGAATTGTGCTTTTAAAGAAGAGTTTGTAATCCTCCACCAATCTGCCATGAGTGTCCACTTAAATAACATCTTTTAGTTTAGAAAATGCATTATAGTCCATCTTACAGCTAATGATTGTGGTATCAAAATTAAAGCCCAGGGGACGCATAGGATTAAATCTGAGTACCATCCTGTGTGCTGATTTTTTTAAGTTTTTAGCTAAACTTATGTGTTAAAAATGTGACCAAACTACTATGCAGAGTTTCTAGCTATGACAGGTGTATCTAAGGCAGGCCATACATAATAATTTTCTTTGGTTCAACTAGTGGGCCGAACAAAAGAAAACTATTCAATTCCCCCATCCACACACTCAACATGGATGGGGGGGGATCCCTCCCGCTGGGCTATTGTATTCTGACAGCAGGGAGGCTGGTTGGACTTATCATGCAAAAATGTTTGAGAGATCATTTTGTGTACAACCAGCCTGCCCATAGTTGGATGAGGGAATCCTTCCAGTTGAGCTATTGTATTCTGACGACAGGGAGCTTTTCCCGCTGGCAGAATACAGTGATTAGTGTTATTGGCTATAGCCAGTGGCACTGATCATTTGAGGAAAAACCCATCAGTCTAGTTGTACACACGTGGATTAATAGACTAGTGTACAACCAGGCAGTCCATACATGGATCAAAAATTTGGCAGTACCTGCTGAACCAGCCAAATTTTGATCCATGTACTGTATGGCCAGCTTAAGTTTTTTACAGTTTAAGGGAAAAAAAATAATACAACTACCAAACCCTTTTTTATATGATCCAGGTAAACATTCTGGTTGATTTTAGTGGTGACATAGGGGTTAATTTACTAAAGACAAATGCAGTTGCCTTTTTAAAGCGTGACATCTACACTTCCCACAGGTTGAATGAAAATGGCCAGATAACTTCACGATGTTATAAAAAATAGATAGTAATAGAAATGCAGTGAAACCTCAAACTGTAGTCTGAAATGCAGATATGATCCAGCTGCTGAGGAATAAACATGCACGATCAGCTCATCCAGTCATCTGTGTTCATGCACAGTCTATAAAGGCAGGGAGACACGATCACAGCCAAACACTTCCAGTAGCAGCTTGTCTCACCAGAAAAAAAAAAAAAGACCACCAAGATTTTGAATTTGTCTAGTCAATCTTTCCACCCACAATCTGTGGGACTGTCTCCAAATCCTACCAAAATCATTAGAGCACAGCTATTTCACAATGTTTGCTGCACCTACCCTTCAATCAGGCTTTCCCAGTGTTCTGATGATGTGTTTGAGAAGAGGCAGGTATCATTCTAACTGCTTGTTTACAGCTAACCTTGATGGTGCCTGTAGATATTACATGATAGTCTCCCGATGCCTCTGTTTTATTTGGATAGTCATGTTAGCCTCAAACAACATTCTCAAAATAAAAAGTAGACCTGGAAGGTTAAGCTGGCCATAGATGGTGCGATTTTCTTTCCTGTAACAACGGTGGGGAGGCACAAGGGTAGCCATCCCTGTCGGGAGAACACTGATTATTGCTTACAGCTATAGCCGCTGGAAATAATCGCATGAAAAATCTGACAGGCTTGTTGTACCCAAGTCATACAACAATGGATTTGGGTTCAATCAGTCTGCCCATAGATGGTTTGAGTCTCAGCCGGTTTCTGCTGAACTGGAGGAGATTCGAACCATCTATGGCCAGCTTTAGAAAATCTTGCATGATCCCTATTGTTTCCTTGGTGTTGGGACTGACAGTGCACAATTGATCATGTGACTAGAGCATTTTTTTTTTTTTTTTCATGGGGGACCTGGCCAAAAAAGGTACAAGAGATGGCCGAATCATATGTTCATTTACAAAACAGATTTCACTGAGCCAGTATCTAAGATGTATTTGTGGGTTGGTAATTCCATGCACTCACATTTAATAACTTTATTACTTGATTACCATCTGTATAACCAGATACAACACAGATATGCTCCAGCATATAATACATTTTAATAAATGCAAATAAAATAATTTGCATCCCACATCATTTAAATGTATTCCGACATCAGCCGGTGCTTGTCATTCAGCATTTCCATTCAGCTGTCTCAGCTCAATCCGATGGTTGGTTAAACTTTGTTTTTATTTTTAATTTGATTAATAATCAAGCTACGTACCACAGTGTTGGCTGCATGATTGAATTGCTAGAAAACAGTGTCCAGAAAGCATTTTCAGACCAGTTACATTGAAGACCTCATTCAGCCACAAGCTCCCTGTGCAGCTGTTGTCCTGGGAAGTCTGATCCATGCTCTCATTGCACCATCTGCTGTTCACTGCTGGAACAGAAAAGGGTTCACTGTGGCACATTTGTTAGCGTCATAAAACCACAAGTAGGGAAATTTCAAAGAATTGCATTTAAGTAATCCTCTCCAAATGTGGAAGAAACTTGATTCAGCAAAGATCTTGTGAAGCTTTAAAGCAGTGGTCTCTGAATTGCAGCCCAAGGGACATATGCGGCCCTTTGCCTGCCTTATCCAGCCCTTGGGACAACCTTCCTCCCACCGACACTAGCAATAGGGTGCTACTCCTCGCACTGACACCAAGGATGGGGCATTATTCCTCCCAATGACACCAACAATGGGGGCACCATTCCTCCCACTGATACCAATGATGGGCACTATTCCTCCTAATGACACATATGAAAAGGCACTGTATAATAAAATAAATCTCCATGCACGTGACTCCGTGATAAGGGTTTGTAGTATGATTGCACTCACCAGAAGCGCAATGATAATGCGCATATAATCATATCCAATTTATCCCCGGCGAACATCAGGGCTCAGGAAAGGGAAGGAAATCCACTGGCACACTGACAGAATACAGGGAATAACTCCAGACCTCACAAACTGAACCCTCACAGCACACAGGGACAGCTCCGCTAGTACCTCTCTACCAAGGATAAAGGTTGCCAAAAAAAGGATATGCTCCACCTTGAAATGAAATGGCTTGCAAATACAAGCCACAAACGGGAGTACTGATAGTGTAGTATGTTTTATTAAAGAGAAGAAACATCCATGTGGGTACATCAGAATTGGGAGCACACTTACAAAGATGGCCGCCGGCCTTCCATGCGGCCTCGGCAGCGTGACATCAGTGCAGCAAGGCTCCTCCCTGACCTTGGAGGGTAACTGTAACTTTTCTCATCAGGGCACTGAAAGTGCACCAGCTAATACAAATCAACGAATCGCTCCCATTCAGAATCAGTACCCAAAGGACGAAGTGGTGCAAACCGCTTTTCTTCAGGGCAGAAACAGGATCTACAAGGTTAATAAAATCTTTGCAGTGTACATTGATCACCCAAAGTGGATTGTTTGTTTGTTTTTCTAACAAAAGTGCAGTTAGTTTTTAGGGAAGCCCAAAAGGTAAGATATTGACTTACAGAGGTGTTGTCACCTTGCACATTCCAGCCACCCCTGTTCCACTTTACCTTTCTGTGCCCCCTATAAAATGCCTGTAGTTCAGGGTATGGCACATCATAGTATTGTGCATATAAAGTAGTGCCTGGGCCTAACAGCCAACTGCCAACCCTAAACTATGTCATGTGGAGAGGACAGTGAAGACATCATACCTGTGTATGGTCAGACACAGAGCCTCATTACAGTGCTCTGTGCTTGCATAGCTGAGTAACAGCCACTCCCCACAAGAGCAAAACTGCTATAACTGGAATGTAGAGGTGCAACTTTGAAAGTGAAGACATCATACCTGTGTATGGTCAGACCCAGAGCCTCATTACAGTGCTCTGTTCTGGCATAGCTGAGTAACAGCCACTCCCCACAAGTGCAAAACTGCTATAACTGGAATGTAGAGGTGCAACTTTGAAAGCAGCAGTAGAGGTGAATGTAGTACAATGTACGGTGTGTCTATCAGATTACATTTTTATGTTTGTGATTTGAATTGGGCTTTAGAGGTAAAAAAAAAAAAAAAGAAAAAAGTTCAGCAGAAGGTAGCCCTCTCGTTATCCTTAATTATGTATTCTGAATCGAAGTATAAATAGACTTTTACAAGATTAGTGCAGTTAGACTATCCATAGCTGAGTTGGGATTGGCAGTAAATGACATTTTGTATTTTATGTTTCTTACCTTTGAGTGTTACCTAAAACAAAACCCAACTTTGGAATTTTTTTTCACTTCTGTAGATTTTAACTAATCTTTCTTATAATTCTAGAGATGGAGATGGTCGGTTGCTGTTAGATATATTTGATGAAAAACTTCATCCTCTTTCTGTAAGTATTTAGGTTCCCTTACTATTTATTTATCTGTACTGTGGCCAACAAATTTTGTCTGGCTTATCAACCATGACACTGTGATGGAATCGGAATGTTTTGAATGCATGCATCATGGCTGTCTTCAGCAATCAGGTTTTTTTGTATTTTTCCTGCCAAATTTTTTTTAAAGTTGATCTTCGGGTAAGAATAATAAACAAAAATTAATGCAGCTCGGTATTTTATTGTCTGTCATTACATTCATTTAAGTGCGGCTAGATTAATTACCCAAACCTGACTTAGTATCAGCCTCCTGGAATCCCCTGTACAGCAAAGCTTAGACTGGGAGAGGGAGAAGCAACTCATGGAGCCTGTCAGCTGTGTTGAAATGTGCTAACAAGAAGCATGCTGATAGGATGAGAGATTGGAGTAACAGATTCATCCGTCTTCTGATTCTCCTTATACTGTCTAGACATAGGCTGAAGGATGGACAAAACCTGTAAGGCTCATCATACACTTTACAATCTGAACTGTACAATCCTCTTTAGATCTACCAACAAGCAAGGGCCTGTTTAATTGGATAGTTTAGTTATTTCTTCATATTACATAGTTTTGGTAATCTATTATATTGGAATTGTATGGTCATATTGTAACATTTAGGGTGAGCCTTTGTGTTACTTAACAGAGGTAGAGGAATTTAAGTCTGCTTGCCTGGCAGGGCTGTGTGGATTGGTAAAGCTGTGTAAATGTCGGGACTGGATGGAAAAAATACAAAAACAGCTACTATAGATCTATTTCATCTGTTTATTTGTACCAACACATAAATCTTTTGCCGACAGCAGCACTTGCTTTTAAACACACTCCCTGCTGCCATTTGTCAAGCTGATTTTTGGTTTTATCTTGGAAATGATTTGGGCAGCTGTGAAGCTGACAACCCGAAGGTACCTGCTCAACTCTCTCCGTCATGTATCCCAGGCTCTGCTGTCCCCCCTGTGGACCAGGTACAGGCATGGTGGGTAGAGCAGATGGACATCTGTCCACTGATCTCCTCTCTGGTGAATGGACCTGGGAGTGATGAGCATTTAGTCATTTCCAGGTTCAGCACTGTCATTCCCCAGGGAAGCAGCTAATGAAACACAATCTGTGCTCAGCTTTAGTAGGGTCCAGAGATGACATTAAAGGGTTTTATAGACCCCTGATTTTTCCTTAAAGAGGACTTGTCATTTCAATTATGTGATCACATAGGGGGCTATTAGCAACATATAAAAGCAATGATTATGCTACATATATAAGGGTATCAGTGTGAATGCCATAAGAGTAGTAATTCTAGGGCCCTCATTCATGGTTAATTTTAAACTGATGACCTGTAAAGGATTTCAAAGCGTCTCCTATGGACAATTTTGTGCACTGAAGTTACCACAGGCATGCGCAATTTTAAGACTTTACTTGTTTATGCTCTCGTGGCAACCTCCTTTTATATTTTACCAAAATATTGGCTATTACATTGTGTTTGTGAGCATCAAAATTAACCTTAATGTATTTTTACGGAAAATATTGCAGCTATGACCATTTTGTTTGCCAGGGTCTGTGCTTGGCGAAAATAGATAATGTTAGGGGGTTTAAAGGTTAAGTTCACCTTTTGGAACATGATACATAAACCAATATTCAGCGTGAAACATGTAACATGTTATGAAAGGACTGATCCCTGCTCCTCTGTTGTGACCGCTAGTGGGAGATGTTTTCCCTCCCTAGCCGTCACTATTTTTTAAAAAAGTAGCCATGCAGGGCTCCACCTGCCTAGTTCACATTATCCATTCACAGGTTTCTGTGAATGGGAAGACTACAAGTCCCGACAGTTGAAAAGATGCTGTTGAGCACTTTGGTAGTTAATTGATTCTTCCTGTCGATATGTATGAGTTAATATCAAAATGTTTCGAGACTAGTTTTGTAACACGCCAACAGATGGCAGCACAAGGCTGCATGCACAGTCACAGGGAGCACTGACCTTCATAAGTCAGTGTGCCAAAAGACATTGTCCTGTGTACATTGGGAGCTGTGCAACTGGTGCTATTCTGACCACGTGTTACCACATCTGCTATGTCATGCTGGACAGCAAGTTAGAACAAAGAGTAAATGTGAAATTTTGCGTGAAACTGGGCAAATCTGCCACAGAGATGTTTGACATAATTCTGCAAGTTTACGGTGATGCTGCAGTGAGTCGTTTAAAGTGTTTTGAGTGGCACACGTGCTTCAAGAGTGGAAGAGCGTCACTGGAAGATGACGAGAGATCAGGAAGCCCTTCAATGAGATTAACCCCCGAAAATGTCAAAACCATTTGGTAACTTGTGCATGATGATCGTTGAAGAACAATCCACAACATTGCTGTAGGGATGCACCGAAATCTCGGTGGCCAAAACGTTTCGGCAGAAAAAACCAAGGCCCTCCCCGCCACCCCTCACCGCCGCCCGCCTGCGCCACCGGCCTCCGTTTGGTAGTTCTCAGCCTTACCTGAGAAACCATCGATCCCAGTGCTGGGCATAGAGATGAGTGAAGGAAACATGGCCGCCACTCTCTATGCCCTTGGAGGACTGGAGCGATGTCACTTCCTGTTCTGGCCATTATTTTTTTTTTTTTTGTTTTTTTAAAGCTCTAGATCAGTGCTTTTTTTTATTTATTTTTTTTTTATCTAATGCTTTACATTGCAGAGGAGAGATGTGGGGTCTTATTGACCCCATATCTCTCCATAAAGAGGACCCGTCACTAAATATTTCTATCACAAGGGATGCATGCATTCCTTGTGATAAGAATAAAAGTGATTACAATTTTTTTAAAGGAACAGTGCAAAAAAAAAACATTAAATACATTTTTAAAACAAAGTTTAAAGTGCCCCTGTCCCCCCCGTGCTCGCATGTTGTGGTGAACGCATACGTAGGCCATTCCCACATATGTAAATGGTCTTCAGACCACACACGTGAGGTATCGCCACGAACATCAGAGCAAGAGTAATAATTCTCGCACTAGAACTCCTCTGTAACTTTACACTGCTAACCTGTAGAACTTTTTAAAGCATCACCCATGGAGATTTTTAAGTACCGCAGTTTCACACCAGTCCACGAGCGTGCACAATTTTGAAGCATGACATGTTGGGTATCTATTTACTTGCCGTAACATCCTCTTTCATATTTTACAAAAAAATGGGGTATATATTGTTTTTTGTTTTTTTTTTTAATGTTTTTTTTTTTTTCCAAAAAAATATATATTCATTTTTAAAAACTGCACGTTTTGGTTTTTGGCCAAGTGCATTTTGAATTTTCAGTTTCGGCACCAGAATTTTCATTTCGGTGCACCACTACATTGCTGCCATTATCAGTGTGTCATACAGGCAATCCTCATGTGTGATTTTAACATGTGCAGTGGTCCTGCCAAGTTCGTCCCCAGGCTGCAATGATCTCACTTCCGCACCCACCCTACAGATTTGGCTCCTGTGGACTTCGCCCTCTTCCCTGAACATTCAACTCAAAGGTCACCATTTTGACAACATTACGGAGATCCAGTGCGAATAGCAGAAGGTGCTTGACATGCTTCGAAATGAAGACTTCCAGGACATATTCCAGAAGTAGCAGGAATTAGTAGTATTGCTGTGCAAGGGGACTGTTTTGAAGGTAATGGTGTATAAACATAGATAAATAAAGTACTTTCTTGCAAACAGAGCTAGTCTCAAAATTTTTTGATACCACCTCGTATATGCTTGCCCGTATGAGGTTCGAGTACACAGATATGCTGACAGTCTACAGTGTTCTGCATGGCAACAGCGATCAGCTGATCACTGGTGCAATGCTTTCCAAGCTCCCAAAACAGAAAATAGTAAATGCACTTTCTTTACCAGCAAAAAAAGTGCATTTATTATTTTTCGTTAAAAGGTGAACTAATCCTTTAACTAATCTTCACTCTTAAAATGTTCAATTTAACATATGTGCAAAATAAAAATTGCAAAACCGGCTCCGGCAGCAAAAAAGATTAAAGTGGTTGTAAAGCCTGAAGGTTTATTTTTACCTTCATGCATTCTATGCATGAAGTTAAAAAATCTTGTGTGTGCAGCAGCTCCCCCAGCCCCCCCCCACCCAATACTCACCTGAGCCTCATCGTTATCCAGCAATGTGAATGACAGCCTCGGCTCTTCCTCCTCATTGGCTCCATCACTGCCAGACAGCCAATGAGGAGAGAGGGGGAGGGGCCAAGCCACGGCTCCATGTGTGAATGGACACATAGCGAACTGCTTGCTGTGGGGGCATCTGACAGACAGGAAGCGGGGGACCTGAGAAGAGGAGGATCCAGGCTGCTCTATGCAAAACCACTGCACATAACAGGTAAGTATAGACATGTTTGTTATTGTACCAAAAAAAAAAGAAATGAACCTTTAGAATCGCTTTAAGGGTCTCACAATGACAGAGTCTTTTCAAACTCCATATGATTTGTAATATATAAATATGGAATTTATTTGTAGAAATCAGAAGTCCCGTCTGATTACGAGAAGCATGACCCAGAACAGAAACACATATATCGCTTTGTTCGGACGCTTTTCAGTGCTGCCCAGCTGACTGCTGAATGTGCCATAGTAACCCTGGTAAGTGTTTGGGGAAAATATAAAGGAACTTCTTCCAGGTAATAACAATACTATAATTTGTGGCTTTGCTTATGATAATTATATGTACAGTGAAGGAAATAAGTATTTGATCCCCTGCTGATTTTGAATGTTTTCCCACTCACAAAGAAATGATCAGTCTAAAAATTGAATGGTAGGTGTATTGTTACACTGAGAGACAGAATAGCAACAAAAAAATTCAAAAGAAATGCATGCCTAACAAATTATGCACTGATTTGCATGTTCATGAGGGAAATAAGTATTTGATCCCCTTCACAAAACATGACTTAGTACTTGGTGGCAAATCCATTCTTGGAAATCACAGAGGTCAGACGTTTCCTGTAGTTGGCCACCAGGTTTGCACACATCTCAGGAGAGATTTTGGCCCACTCCTCTTGGCAGATCCTCTCCCAAGTCATTAAGGTTTGGTGACTGACGTTTGGCAACTCGAACTTTCAGCTCCTTCCACAGATTTTCAATTGGATTAAGGTCTGGAGACTGGCTAGGCCACTCCAGGACCTTAATGTGCTTCTTCTTGAGCCACTCCTTTGTTGTCTTGGCCGTTTGTTTTGGGTCATTGTCATGCTGTAACACCCGTCTACGACCCATTTTCTATGCCCTGGCCGAGGGAAGAAGGTTCTCACTCAAGATTTGACAGTACATTGCCCCATCCATTGATCCTTTGATGCGGTACAGTTGTCCTGTCCCCTTAGCAGAAAAACACCCCAAAGCAGAATGTTTCCACCACCATGTTTGACAGTTGGGATGGTGTTTTTGGGGTCATAGGCAGCATTCCTCCTTCTCCAAACACGGCGAGTTGAGTTGATGCCAAAGAGCTCAATTGTGGTCTCATCTGACCACAACACTTTCAACCAGTTCTCCTCCGCATCATTCACATGTTCAGTGGCAAACTTCAGATGGACCTGGACATGTGCTTTCTTGAACAGAGGGACCTTGCGGGCACTGCAGGATTTCAATCCTTGTCGGTGTAGTGTGTTATCAATTGTTTTCTTGGTGACTGTGGTCCCAGCTGCCTGGAGATCATCTGGGATGATTCCTCACTGTTCTCATGATCATTGACAGTCCACGAGGTGAGAGCTTGCATGGTGCACCAGACCTAGGGAGACTGACAGTTGTTTTGTGTTTCTTCCATTTGCGAATAATTGCATAATAATTGAATAATCTGTTGTCACCTTCTCACCTAGGTGCTTGGCGATAGTTTGGTAGCCCAGTCCAGCCTTGTGTAGGTCTACAATCTTGTCCCTGACATCCTTGGACAGTAATCTGGTCTTTGCCATGGTGGAGAGTTTGGAATCTGATTGTTTGATTGCTCCTGTGGACAGGTGTCTGTTATACAGGTAACAAAATTAGATTAGCAGCACTCCCTTTAAGAGACTGCTTCTAATCTCAGCTTGTTACCTGTATGAAAGACACCTGGTAGCCAGAAATCCTGCTGAATGATAGGGGATCAAATACTTATATCCCTTATGAATATGCAAATTAGTGTATATAATTTGTTAGACATGCATTTCTTTTGAATTTTTTGATGGTATTCTGTCTCTCAGTGCTACAATATACCTACCACTACCTAGACTGATCATTTCTTTGTGAGTGGGCAAATATTCAAAATCAGCAGGGGATCAAATACTTATTTCCTTCACTATAGGTGCTAAAAACAACAAACATACAGAAAACAACATCATTGTGTTAACTACATTTTGTTGCACCCTGTAAGTAGAAGTCAGGATAGTACTCTAATGTATTTTCCCTTGAACATCTAAGCTCAAACTGCAGGATTTAGATTTTTTGAGTCATGTGGTCTATGCTTCCAAGAATTGTTGGCGATCGTTCTTAGACTTTGCTATCACTAGGGGATTGGGCAGTGTGGCAATTGTGCAATGTTAAGCTGGCCATAGATGGACCGAATCTTGGCCAGTTCAGCAGGGACCGGCTGAGATTCGATTTATCTGTGGACAGGCTGGTTGTACTGAAATTAACAAAAAATAAACGAGTGCTGGGTGAATAACAGTGTTTGAATAGCTGTCAGCATAAAAAGAAAACCTCTAAAACCTCCTAAATGTGATATATAAATATGCAGCGCTAGAAGGTAATGTATAATCACAAATAAGCGTAATAAAAATGAGCATATAAAACAAAGCTGCAAATGGCGTACAAAGACGCACTGCTATGCAGTGCTAAATGGCAATATATAATCACAAATAGGCATAATGATGAACATGAGCGTGTATCGCACAGTGAAGTCAATCCATGCATTTAATTCAGTACAACCTGCCTGTCAGATTTTGTGCATGTGATTACTGCTGGGGACTGTAGTCATTAAATGTGATTTGCCGGCAGGGAAGACTCCCCACACCTCCCCGAGACTGTGAGAGGAATTCCACAAGTTGCAGGAAAAGAAGATTGCTCGATTCCCCCATCAACAGTTAGTTTTGATGGGGGAATCGAACTGTTGATGGGGGAATTGAGTGATCTTCTTTCCTATAGGGAGAAGATGTAAAGGTGGGGGCAAGTGCTCTTGGGGGGGGGGGAGTGCTGTGAAGCGGGGCAGTGCTGTGGGGGGGGTGATGTAAAGGGGGGGCAGTGCTGTGGGAGGGATAATGTAAAGGGGGGGGGGGCTGTGCTGCTTGATGTGAAGGGAGCAGCTGACATGAAGTGGGGTACTGTGACGTGCAAGGGACTGAGGACACTAATGTAACAGGATTGTGATCTAAAATGAGGGGGCTGTGATGGAAAGAATCTGAGACATCACACAAGAATGCAATTCAGACCTCCGCTGGAAGAAAAATTTTCTGATTGGACCTCCATGAAATTTAATTCAATGCCCCTGGCCTAAAATAACGGTCTCAATATATTCCTGTTTTAGCCTCAGATGTAGCTGTTGCTGTGCACTGGCTACAAGCGCCTTAGTCCTCTCATAGAGTTACCCATGCAATAACTGACACTGATGCTGGCTTCAATGTTCCAGGAATGTTCCGGGAAAGCCACAGGAAATTAAATTATGTATCATGTTTCTATCTGATCATAATATTGCATTTAATTAATAGTTATCTCATCTATTACTTTGTCATGGGGAGAACACAATCCAGCTAGATTTAATAAGTCCACATCAAACAAATCATGACCTGGCATCTGCAGGCTGTGCAAAATCAAATGCGCATAAATTACATTTCCCATTTAAAATAAAAAATAGAAAAACAGGAGGAGTATTTGTCTATGTATAAAACAGGGACAATTCAAGTGTATTAGACTTGCTTGGTTCAATGGCATTTATAAACCAGGTTTGATGCTGCCGAGTGGAAATGAAGATACGGTGTGAATGAGTAACGAATGTGTACTGCAAAAGTATAGTGCAGGCAAGCAGTACTGAGAAAAGGGCCCTGGTGAAGATTTTTGACAGGGATCTCCTCTAGAAGGTCATGAGATCTAATATACCATGGCCAAGCACAGGGGACTCCTGGAAAAGTGCCTTTGCCTGAATTTTGTAGCTTCCCTGCATGGTCTGTCATAGCTAGTAAAGGAGATCCTCCCCCCCCCCCCCCAGAGCAGAGGATGGGCACAACTGCTCTGACCCCAATTTTCATATGGATCCATCAGAAGTCAAGTATAACGGTGATAATGTTGACAAATGTTTTATAAATTAGGCAAATAATTTGCTGGTGCGTAGTTCTTAAGTCCAGTTTAATAATTTTTTCGAGAACCTGTAAAGCAAACCTGTGCTTTACTCATTCAGGGCAAAGCTCCATATACATATATGTTCCTTTCTTTTGCTGCCCATCCACTCCATCCAGCGCTGAGATTCTATGAAGATACCAGGTATTTCCAGGCATGGAGGCCCATGTGATGGCTCTTGGGAGGTCAGTACTGTCATAGCCCTGAATGGACAAAGCACAGTGTTGCTCTAACGCTCTCATCCCTAAAAGTACAAGCTTACCTTTTGTTTGCTTCCTTGGCACTTTCTTTGGCACCAGAAGCTTAAGGAAATACTTAACATCTGGGTAAGGAGGAGCTTGTGACACATTTCATGTGACAGCTCTGGGCCAAAACAGCTACAGAGGTCTAAAGGCTCATTTACTTTTTCTAAATACTTTAATGTCCTGGTTAGAGGTTCACTTCAAAGGGTAGTTGTATGTAGAAAAGTTAAAGCATAAGTAATCTATGCACCTTGCTGCAGGTAAATAAGACATCTGTACCAGCATGTAGGTCACCTTTGCAGCATGCAGTCTTTATGGATGCCATTCAGCCTTCCCATATTACTGCTGCTTTACCATTGCTAACAATGCCTTCTTGCTGCAGCTTAGTAGGCTGTCTGCCTGGGGCTCACTCAGTGACAAGTGTGGTCACCTCATAATAGAACCACTTTCTGGTCTGCAGCAGGACACTGGCAGTGATAATTCTACCAATAATAGCTTGGAGCACACACTGCAGTGGTATAATTTCTGCTGGCGCATGTCTAGCCTTCATCAAGGAAGCCCACAGTGGTCTAATATCACCTAAACTTTGGTTATGAACCGTCTTTTTAAGGTGATGCACAGTAGACTGGCCTACTTTTGGCTCCTTCAGCTGACACTGAAAAAAGCTCCACTGCTTCTCCAGTGTCCATAATCGTTTGACCATCTGCTGATATGGAGGGGAGGAATGGGTGGGCCTACCTAAAAACCAACTTGGGCTTCAGAAAGGCACTTACCTTTCTACATGCCAGAGTAATCATAGCTGAGTGGAGATTTTTCTGATCAGTATCAAGTGTACAGTGTATTACTTGTCTCTCCTGGTAGATGGTTATATGATGGATTTGTATTATGAATGCTTAGTGCTTATGTGCATTGATCTAGTAATATGTTTATTTTAAGGTTTACCTTGAAAGACTGTTAACCTACGCAGAAATAGATATTTGTCCAGCCAACTGGAAACGGATTGTATTGGGTGCAATACTTCTAGCCTCTAAAGTTTGGGATGACCAGGCAGTGTGGAATGTGGACTATTGTCAGATCCTGAAAGACATCACGGTGGAGGACATGTGAGTTCCTTCTCTTTCTAGGAGCACTAACGCTTTTTCTATTCATGTTGACCCGTTACCTGTGTAAAGTGTAGCAGACCTCAACCAATTCATCCTATCAGTGCGCCAGGATCTTGGGATGTCACTGTGAGGCATTCCAAAACCAAATAGCAAATTTACAGTTAACGCAGAACTAAACTTTCCCTGTCATCTTTAACTATTTTTAATCCTTATGCTGCTAGCATTAATAAATAGGAAAGTATATCATATTTACTTGTTTTAAACTGTTCTTTATTTACATTTCTTCCGTTACTTTCTGGTTTCCAGGCCTAGGCCAAGGAAATTATGTCATACATCCTTGGAGTCTTCATGGGCATTTTTTTTTTTTTACTTTCGTTGGGGGGATGGGCTTTCTCAGCTAAGCACACCCTACTTCCTGCATGCCTGGCCTAAGGGCAGATGTATTCCAAGAACTAAATGCTTAATGAATCATCTGCCATTACTCATGATGGACATGTCCATAAATGCTGGGGGGGGGGGGGGGGGGGGGGGGTTAAAGTGATTTCTCATCATAATAATGCATAGATAGATAAGTGAGAATATTAAAAATTAATTAAATAGCGGTTTTGGTTTGTGGTGCTCAGATACAGTTTTTATCTGCTTTAGAGAAAAGCTTGAAATTTCTTCCAGTTCACAAAGTAACTCCATTCAGTATGGTAACAAGATCTTTTTACAGCACATGATTTTGGGGGTCATAGCTAAGCTCCACTATGTAATGGCTTACTTTATGTTGTCACCCCAGGTACCTGTAACAATCTGCGTTCTGTACTATGTAGACAATGAAAACTCTGCAATGCTTACAAAATACATAGATGGTTTGTATCAGTCCTTGACACCAGGGGAGTGTTCAGGGGATCATCACACTTGAGCCAACTGTTTAAATGTTTTTAGACTGCATCAGGAAGCTAGACTAGCTTGAGAAAAGAAACGGCAACACAAAAATAAATGCCCCATGTAAATAGTGTATCTGGTAACATAGGACCCCATTCATTCAAGAATTCCTTTTCCATTACCTTCCCCTCAATTACCTCTTTCTCTTTTCTGCTATACTATATTTGGCATAGTGAGGGGGAAAAAGGGCATCACAGAATGTGCATAACATACAGCTAGCTTTTGTCACACTATAGCCACAAGGTGGTGTTTTATCACCAAAATCACTGGCTGACATTGCAATGTGCACTAATACCAAGCAATATTGGATTGACCTGTACCAGATACAGAACTGGGGTCTTGATTTTGATTTACAAGCTCGGCTTCAGAACTAGCGATCCAAGTACAGCCTGCAGTATCTGATATGCATCAAGCTCTGAGAAAAGATTTTGAAGTTAACCTGTGCTTTGCCCATGCAGACTTCTGGGGCTGCATACATCACATCAAAGCTTGCAGTACCCAGAAGAAGTCTCAGGGGTTTTGGATGCCTACATAAGGGGGACTGTTAGAGGTAAAATAACATGCATTAAAGTTTTACTAAACCCACAACAGTAAAATCAGTCTGTATATGCCGTAAAGCATGCTTGTTATACTCACTGTGAAACCTAAGGGGTTAATCCTCCCCTTCTTCCCAGTCCATCTCCTGATAGAACAGAGCCTTTGGGGCAAGCTGCACATGCTCAATTTGGTGTGGATTGCTAGAGAGCCTTTTTTTTTTCCCTTGGAAGAGTGCATGTGATCAGCACAGGGCCAATCAGCACTGTCCAGACAGAGGTCAGGGGTCCTACATCCTCCTAGAGCAAATTAAAAACTCCTACTACAAGCTTAAACCAGTGCTGTGCTGGGCACTAATAGAAGTCACAAGACTGCTCTAACTGCTGTTGAGAAAAGGTATTTAGCAGTTTATATTTACTAAAATAATTGCATTTCCATGTTCTGTGTACTGTGGGAGACCAGATATAGTGGATGCAGGGTCCTGGGTTTAGTAACAGTTTAAATATTTATACAATCTTATAGGAAGAATGCTGTTGCAATTAATAGTCTGGTGACAGATGTCTAGTTAGGTTTATGTTTCAGTATATGCAGATGTAGGTAACTGATGTGTCATGGACGGCTGTAATAATTGTTTCTTATTTACAGGAATGAGCTGGAGCGTCAGTTCCTGGAGCTGCTGCAATTCAACATCAATGTTCCGTCCAGTGTTTATGCCAAGTATTATTTTGATCTGCGGTCACTGGCCGAGGGTAACAACCTCAGCTTTCCACTCGAGCCCCTGAGCCGGGATCGTGCATGTAAATTAGAGGTATGATACGTAATAAAAAGTTTTTATGAAAGAATTCCAGAAAGATTAGTTCTTGAAAGGTTTTGGTTGAGGTGTATTTTGTGCTCCAATAGCATCCTTTATGAGATATGATACCTTTGTGGAGAGCTGACTTTACTTTATAAAGTGCTCAATCTGCTAGGTACACTTCAATCCCTGCTGGGCTTCGGGAAAACCCCATTGCAGGAGCATACAGTCAGGTCCATAAATATTGGGACATCGACACAATTCTAACATTTTTGGCTCTATACGCCACCACAATGGATTTGAAATGAAACGAACAAGATGTGCTTTAACTGCAGACTGTCAGCTTTAATTTGAGGGTATTTAAATCCAAATCAGGTGAACGGTGTAGGAATTACAACAGTTTGCATATGTGCCTCCCACTTGTTAAGGGACCGAAAGTAATGGGACAATTGGCTTCTCAGCTGTTCCATGGCCAGGTGTGTGTTATTCCCTCATTATCCCAATTACAGTGAGCAGATAAAAGGTCCAGAGTTCATTTCAAGTGTTCTATTTGCATTTGGAATCTGTTGCTGTCAACTCTCAAGATGAGATCCAAAGAGCCGTCACTATCGGTGAAGCAAGCCATCATTAGGCTGAAAAAACAAAACAAACCCATCAGAGAGATAGCAAAAACATTAGGCGTGGCCAAAACAACTGTTTGGAACATTCTTAAAAAGAAGGAATGCACCGGTGAGCTCAGCAACACCAAAAGACCCAGAAGACCACGGAAAACAACTGTGGTGGATGACCGAAGAATTCTTTCCCTGGTGAAGAAAACACCCTTCACAACAGTTGGCCAGATCAAGAACACTCTCCAGGAGGTAGGTGTATGTGTGTCAAAGTCAACAATCAAGAGAAGACTTCACCAGAGTGAATACAGAGGGTTCACGACAAGATGTAAACCATTGGTGAACCTCAAAAACAGGAAGGCCAGATTAGAGTTTGCCAAACGACATCTAAAAAAGCCTTCACAGTTCTGGAACAACATCCTATGGACAGATGAGACCAAGATCAACTTGTACCAGAGTGATGGGAAGAGAAGAGTATGGAGAAGGAAAGGAACTGCTCATGATCCTAAGCATACCACCTCATCAGTGAAGCATGGTGGTGGTAGTGTCATGGCGTGGGCATGTATGGCTGCCAATGGAACTGGTTCTCTTGTATTTATTGATGATGTGACTGCTGACGAAAGCAGCAGGATGAATTCTGAAGTGTTTCGGGCAATATTATCTGCTCATATTCAGCCAAATGCTTCAGAACTCATTGGACGCCGCTTCACAGTGCAGATGGACAATGACCCAAAGCATACTGCAAAAGCAACCAAAGAGTTTTTTAAGGGAAAGAAGTGGAATGTTATGCAATGGCCAAGTCAATCACCTGACCTGACTCCGATTGAGCATGCATTTCACTTGCTGAAGACAAAACTGAAGGGAAAATGCCCCAATAACAAGCAGGAACTGAAGACAGTTGCAGTAGAGGCCTGGCAGAGCATCACCAGGGATGAAACCCAGCGTCTGGTGATGTCTATGCGTTCCAGACTTAAGGCTGTAAGTGACTGCAAAGGATTTGCAACCAAGTATTAAAAAGTGAAAGTTTGATTTATGATTATTATTCTGTCCCATTACTTTTGGTCCCTTAACAAGTGGGAGGCACATATGCAAACTGTTGTAATTCCTACACCGTTCACCTGATTTGGATGTAAATACCCTCAAATTAAAGCTGGCAGTCTGCAGTTAAAGCACATCTTGTTCGTTTCATTTCAAATCCATTGTGGTGGTGTATAGAGCCAAAAATGTTAGAATTGTGTCGATGTCCCAATATTTAGGGACCTGACTGTAACTACACCTCATTGGACCCCATAGATAAATTTTATGGCTCTCCCAGTGACCCCTCTCTGTGCCACCTGGCAGTGTCGACTTTGACAATGATATCACATATGTCTAAATCAAGGACAAGCAGCAGGAAAGTGGTTAGCAAAAATCTGTACACTACTAGGGACCAGTGTTTTAGATAGAAGTTGTCAGAGAAGAGCAGCAGTGCAAGTAATCAACTTTAACCTTAGAAGTTGCAATAATAACCACAAGGATAATTTTATTTTATAAAATTTTTGTAAAAGTTAAAATTTGCCTTTTTTGCTAGAAATTACTCTAAATTCCCAAACAATTATATATTTTCTGTAAGTAATAACCCTGTTGCACGATATTTGTGCAGCTATTTATCAAATGCATATAGTATATTCAGTAAAAAATACAATTCAATTAATTTTAGTGTAAAGAAACACAATATTTGGTAAAATATAAAAGATGGGGTTACATTGAGTAAATAAATAGCAAATGGGTCAAGCCTTAGAGTTATTTGTGCCTGTAAAATTGCGGAAAATTATGATACCCAAAATTCTTAGTAGGTAAAACTTTAAAAGCTTTTACAGGTTATCAATTTATACTTAACTGAATTATGGTCCTAGCGTTATTGTTCTCACTGTGACATTCATGACATGTGGCACAATTTTATGTTTACATACACATGCTTGCCTTATGTGTTTGAACTGGAGTGTGTACGGGGCTGATAGGAGTCCATTTTTTTATATTTTTTTAATATGTTTTCTTTTAAATGTTTTTTTTTATATATATATATTTAACTTTATTGCTATCTTTTAGACCCCTGATGTCTCCCCTGAGCTCCACTGCAGCTAATTAAGTACAGATTGCGCTTGATTAGCTGTACCCTCTGCTACAGTAGCCAAGGAATAACAGCTGTGAACCCAGAAGTGATGTAATACTTGTTGCTTCCAGAATCATTAGTCATAGGCGGATTGGGGAAAGGATGTTCCCTGATTACCTCCTGCTCTAACTGTGGGAGCTGTTTTACTGCGTTTTACAGCAGAGGAATGGGAGAGCCAGGGAACCACTGAGGGAACACTATGGAATTGTTTTTTTTTTTTTACCAGCCACAGAAAGACTGCATTAGGCATACAGGTCTGGAGGCAATAAATCTATACTGCCAAGACAGCAAAACAAATTCTTCTAACTATAGATATAAAATGAAGGGGATCTGTGACTATGATGTTGATGACTTCTAGACTGCAACCTCCCAAACGGGGCCCTCCCTCGCCCTCTAGCCCTATAGCAACCACGTGGGCTGCTATGGCTATAGTTTTGACACTGCCCCATAGACTTCTTTGGAGTTGACTACCTCAGTTCATATACTGAAGAGCGGTCTTGGACTGGAAACATGCATACAGAAGGATGCATTGGGCAGACCTGAGTTTTAAAAAGCACTATATGTAATGAAAAATGCTGCGGAGGTAAGTATAACTAACATTACTTACCTCTCAAGTTTTAAAACTAATGTTCCAGAAACAATATATGCTGTATATAAAGGAATGCATTAGGGTAAAAAAATGTTTAGGCTTTACAACCACTTTAAGGTGCATTTGCAGTCTCGGAAAGCATTAAGCTGCAGGGAAGATAGGTATTAGCCAGGTGTTTGTTTGGTTTTTTTGAAAGGTAGGTATTAGCTAAGTGTGTGTATATGTATGTATGTATATGTATATATATATATATATAATAATATATATATAATGGGCTTTATGGTATTTTAGGTCCACATAAATCTCCCCATTTTTTAATACACATGCTGTTTGTTTTTGTTACATTTAGGCTATTTCACGCCTGTGTGAGGACAAGTACAAGGACTTCCGAAAACTGGCCAAAAGACGTTCTGCAAGTGCTGATAACCTGACTGTTGTACGATGGTCTCCTGCCATCATATCCTAACAGTGGCTCCACCTTGCAGACTACTCTGTCTCACATACTGTTTTGTGGATACCTTGTTGTCTTTGTCTCGGGAAATTGGACATCTTTTTCTATTCTGAATCGTTGGCAAGCCTCCCCTACAGTGCCTCCCTATCACAAAGATGGGATACATCTGTCACTTTCTGCAAACAGTATAAAGCCATGTCATTTGTTTCACACTCCTCTCAATGATTTGGACGGAGCATCGCACTCTCTATCCTGCTGTGATGAGAACCCTGTTTAGTAGAAAAGGCAAAACTGAAAAGGTAGTTAATGAAAATCAAATGCTGGACAAAAACTTGGACACATATGAAAGTTAGTTGTGTGATTTATGTATACACAGGGTGGTCGTAACTAAGATGATAGTATTCTGGGGAATATAGATAATCGTCTAATAGGAGGATCACAGCTATATTGGTGGAGCTAATGGAGACCGTATGGAAATAAAAGCAACTCCACACAAAAACAAAATCAAGGCATAAAAATCTTCTTTTAAAAAAGAAACACTACATAGCCAAGATCAAGGCAGTTGGTTATGAGATCATGTTTGAAGGGAAGGATTTGAGTTCACATTGGGTGACTTTGCCTTTCAGCAGAGATCATGCAAAAGGCTTAGGCATCTGGTTATGTGGACTACTCTGGAGGATACCTACAGCAGCATTTTCTCTATGAATGTTATTTCAGCCCTTCAATTAATTGTTACTCATTCAGCAAGATTGTTGACATGTCTGTAAAGAGAATCTGTCATAATTTAAAATCAATCTGATGGGGATAGCCACTGCCTTAATCACAAACTGCATGCCAATTCCAGGGCAGGGAAGTGCCTGTAAGTGAGGTGACTGGAACAACTTGCAAGTCAGACAATAGCGGCTTCAAGCAGACAGGTGGTATTTAGTTGAATGAAAAGATTTCTCTCTTGTAATAAATGGAAGCAGAACCAGGACAAAGTGCTAAGTGCACTGAAACTCCCATAGCCAGTGCCAGTTGCACTGATCGATTTAGAAAAACCTGACATGGCAGCTGTACAGAAGTTGATCGGTAGATGGAGTTCTGTACACTCAGCCTGCCCAATCATGAATCAAAATTAGGCCAGTCCCTGCTGAACCTGCCTAATTTCAATCCATGTATGACCAACTTAAGGAGATATGCCACTGCTCCCTCTGGGCTCCTACACCCGTATTATGCGGGTGGTGGTGTCTTTACCAATTTTACATCCAATGTGGTCAGAAGTCTGTTAACCTTTTAGTATACTTTTAAATTACCAGAGGATACCTGCCAATATGGAGGGATATTCCATACATTTAGTGTCCCTCTCTCACCTTATTTAGGACCACTCTGTTGAAGCAGTGTTTATAAATTGTGATAAATATTGCTGTTTATTGTTTTATTTTTCTCTTGGTTTGCACTTTTTAAAAAATTTTCCCCACATTCGAAGGAAATAGGTGCTGGGCTATGTACAGGTGGACCAAATATTATAAATTCATTCCGTCCAGTGGAGCATTTACTGACCCGTACTGGAAAAGCGAATGATGGAATCTGAGGGTCCAGAGCAATCAGGCAGGTCCTTAAAGTGTAATAATATAGGCTGGCCTTTAATCTTTTAACAGGAAAACCACTATCTTACACCAAACACATCAGCCAAGTTTTCTTCATTCACTAGTTGTTATTTATCCTTGTCAGTTTCAGTGGTTCCAGGATCTCCACAAGTTTTTATTTTATAGCTGCAGATTTTTTAATAGAAATTAAAAAAAATGTATAGCTCAAAGATTGTTGTAAGCAATGCCCAATTTCAGAAAAAGTATATGACCAATGCATTTTTCTTATCATGGAGACCAAAACATCAGCAATCAATATTTGTATATTCAGATAGCACCCTGGCACCACCCTTCTACCCTTTGTCAAGCATCCCCTTAAAGCAAAGCCACGTATTTTTCCGCATTTAATATTGTGTGGCATTGTAGTGAAATCGACAGCTTTGTAAATCTAGTATTGTCTAACGTCAAATGATCTTTTTACCATGTAAGAGGCAGAACTGTGAAATGCTGTTTCTGTGCAGACCGGTCCGATGGTTGTCACCTGCAATTCTGGCTGTATGAGGGTAACGGGCTTGTGTCTATGGCCACCAGCAGATTCCCACTAAGCAACTGAAATCTGGGGAAAAGGTCAGTCAGGGCAGAAAATGTTTTCCAGTATTTGTTTACTTTGAGATAAACGGACTATAAAAGTGTCTGGCTGCACTTCCCACCACCCGCTTATTTCAGTAGGTACAAACATGATTGCCTCAGCTGCCAATCATACATGTTTATGCCTTGAAAAAAAAAACTCTCTTCGTGGTCAGATTTTCTATACACTCTCTGAGATCTAGGGCCACAACAGAGATTACAGGTTTCCTAAACTCTTGATGCAGCCAAGTCCAATAAGACAGGAGCCTCATTTATTATCCTTTTCTGGAGCTATGCCAACTTTGTAAAACTGTACGTGTAGAACAAAATTCAGATAGCTGTGCCTGTGCAACCATTCTGTAGATATCTATTCCAATTGTGTTTACATTATAACAAAGAAAGTTAGCTAAAATCTTTTTTTGTTTATTTTTTTTGTATAGTGTTGGACAGACTAGGGAAAGGTTAGAAGATAACTTCTGCTGTCTGTTGCCCCATTGGGAAGACTCTACCCACTTGCTGTGTTGTCATTGGAGAAGGGGATGAGGGGAAATCTCTCTAAAGCAAGCACAGCAATTAAAAACACGCAGAGGTTCTGTGGCTTCACCACCTGATCCAAAAAAAATCTGTTTACAAAGCTGACAATTTCATTGTTTTGCCTTACATTACACATGGGTGGAGATTTACTAAAATTGGTGCGGACAGAATCTGGTGCAGCTCCACATAGTAATCAATCAGCTTTGAGGTTTTATTGTCAGGGCCTTTTGCACATGGGCAGACTCCGCCAAGCAGATCCTCCTGCTCAATGGGCGATCTGTCTGCTGATCCCCGCTGAGCAGGCAGATGACAGGTCCGTGTCCTCTCCGCCTGTGCAGAGAAGACATGGACACAGCCCACTGTTCTCTAGGAAGCTGTTAGATGTAAAAGGACAGGTGGTCCATTTACATCCGACTGTCATCCGATCTGCTAGATGTTTACATCTGCCTCCCCATAGAGAACAATGGATGGTCTGATCGGGTCTGCCTGAAAAACAAACAGGCGGACCCGGTCTGTACGCATGTGTGAAAGGGCTCTAATTGAACAAGCTGAAGTTAGCAGCTAATTGGTTACTATGCACAGCTTCACCAAATTCTGTATGCACTAGTTTTAGTAAATCCCACCCCATAGAGTGTTTTACCACTGTTTAAATGTATGATCTATATCCAATAAATGCCCCCTACATATAATTATCCATTTCAAAAACCAGCTGAGCAAAATGTTTAAACTGAACTGACCTTAAAAAAAAAAAAAAAACCATCTCTTCACAAGATAGTGCTGTATATTTATTCCTGCAGTTTCCCCTTTCTTGACATCAATATACTTATTGTATTTAAGGAAAAACAGAGACGGTAGACAACTGTACAATAAATGTTTATAAAGTTGCTGGAAATTTGCCATCTTACATTTACCCCAGAACACATGGAATAGCAAAGAAAACGTCATGACTTTGTTTTCATTCAATGCCCTCTGTCATCATTCTGAACCAAAAGTGCATTTGTAAGTCATAATTCATTCTTTAGGATATATATAAATCTATATAATATTTATAATGTGGATGTATTTAGTATGAATGAGAGAGTGTGCAAGAGTTTGGCCATTCCTTTTTGCCTGTAAATGTTTTTTTTTTTTTTTAAATAAGTCATACATTTTCAAAAGAAGGGGAGGGCAGGCAAGTGTGCAACTGACTGCATGCCTTTTGTTATTACAGACTGGAACATTACAAAACAAGATGAGAAGACTTCATTGAGTAGTAGTGCCTAAAATGAGCCTGTGTAAATTGTATTGTTAGTCATTGGGATGTAGTGCAGGGAATGGGGACAGACAGGTAAGAGATGATTTACTAAAACTGTAGAGGCTTCTCCGTTAGTAAAGTGAATGTTAGTAAATGAGGAGAACCTATGCTTACTTTGAATACCCAATCTTGTGCAAGAGAGAGAAAACATTTTTGCTTGCACATTAGGCACATTTAACACAGGGCTGACTCTGTTTTGAACAGCAGAAAATCTGTCTGATGATCCCCTGCTGATCAGAGCAGAGCGGACAGGTGACAGGTCCGTGCCCATTCAGTTTATGCAGAGTGGACACGGACAGAGCTCGCTCTGCTGTATGGGTGGCCAGGAGTAAACGAACACCTGACTACCCTCTGATCCACTACACCTAGACAGAAGTAGACAAATCCTCTTCCATTTTTTTTTTTTTTTTTTTTGGATTGAACCAGAGGTAGATAGGTGTAAACATGCACAAGTCCATTTACACTTGCTGGTTCATAGGGGTAATCAGACCATCCAGTCAGGTCCACTTGAAATACTGACAGGCGGACCTGATCAAACCATTCAGCGGAAAGGGGCCATAGTGTGATTTGGTTAATGTAGGTGAGCAAAGCTTCACCTCATTTGCTAAGCTTGGTGAATATTTACTTTCCTAAGTGAACTCCTGTAGTAATCCAACCCAACAATCTGTGAGCCTGTTAGGCCTTTGATACCATGGGGTTGCTTTTCTAAAACAACACAGAATCTTTAGGCCTCTTTCACACGGAGGACCGATCAGGTCCGCTTATCTGTTTTTCGGATCATCTGTTGCCCTCTATGGAGCAACGGACATGTGTCCATTTACACCTGCCTACATCCGATCCTATTTGCTAAAAACCGATGGATAGGAGATCCGTTCCCCATCCGTCTAGCGGGTCAGATGACAGATGGATGTAAATGGATAAGTGGTTTGTTTACATCTCACCGCCAATTTGAGGAAAGGGGGCTGTGTCCGTGTCCGCTCTGAATAAGCGGA